AATTTCACAGTAAACGAACAAATTTTGTTTTGTTATACCACGTGAAATTTCCCATCACATGTATTGCCCTAACACATTGCTAGATGTCATCTGGGACGACGAATGTGAATTAGTGATAAATTAAAAGGGATATTTTAATTTATCGATTTTGATTAGATCAAAATAATAATTCACATCATTAGGTATCGTTATCGAGAACCTAATGGGTCACACACAAAAGAGAACCAGAAGAATAAGATTTATCGATTAATTAATTGACAAACATTGGATAATTAATTAATTTGGTTGCTTATTAATAAACCCGAATTAATTAATTGGATTAATTAATTCATGGACTAGTTGATTAATTAAATATTGGATCGGGTTAAGTTTAAGAGACGGGCCAAACCTGCTTGGCCTTTTATTAATAGGCTGCCAGGATTTGAAAACTGAATGGAATAATTCATTATTCTTGCTAGCACAAGAAAAGAAAATTTTAGCCGTCATTCTTGTTCTATATGTGGATCATCATTGGAGGCTGGATAATTGGACAACTTTGATTGCAGATCGTGATCATTCGAGTTCGAGAATCAGTAAAGGAGTTTGCAGAATTCATCAAAGGTATTATTCTAAACATAGTTTCTATCTAAATACAAAGCAGATCCGTGACGAAAATAGAAATTTGATTTATTTTCCGCTGTTTATAATTAAGTAAATTCTCAACAAAACTGCACTGCGGAATCTATACAAAGAAAAACAAGTATTGCCTACCATTATTATATGAATGTGCATTGTAGGCTCTAAAATGGGCCTCAGCTCAGCTCTTCTAATTTTAAATATTTAAACCTAGTGACACCCGAAGTTAATAAAAAATCTTAATCTCCTCGGTAATTGAACTTGAGGTAACAAAATTCTTGTAATTGTAATCAGGTAATTCTCTTTTCAATTCGACATCCATATTTGCGTCCATTGTAGATCTCATACACCTAAACTCAAACATGCACTACAACAAAACTGTGATT